TACAGTGCCACAAGAAAGTTAAGGAGCTCAGACAAGGCTATCAAAAAACAAAGGAGGCAAATGATCGCTCCGGTCAGAGCCACAGATATGCCGCTTCTACGCTGAGCTGCATGCAATTCCGGGGGGGGGCCGCCACCACTACCCCACCTGTGACCGTGGATTCTGAGGCGGGCAAAATTTCAGCCATGCCTGAGGATTCTGCGGATGGGGAAGAAGAGGAGGAGGAGGATGACGACAAGCTTACGGAGAGCACATAGCACTCCATTCTTCCCAACAGCCAGGATCTTTTTCTCAGCCTGACTGAAGCACCCTCCCAACCCCCAGACAATGAGGCCATGGATGGGACCTCCGGTGAGTGTAGCTTTTGAAAATATAAAACATGGTTTAAAAGCAAGCGTTTTTTAATGATTAATTTGCCCTGAGGACTTGGGATGCATTCGCGGCCAGTACAGCTACTGGAAAAGTTTGTTAATGTGTCTGGGTATGGAGCGGAAATCCTCCAGGGACATCTCCAAAAGCCTTTCCACAAGGTTTCTTGGCAATGCAGCCTTATTCCGTCCTCCATGGTAGGACACTTGACTACGCCATGCTAGCAGCAAGTAATCTGGTATCCTTGCATGACAAAGCCTGGCAGCATATGGTCCCGGTGTTTGCTGGCATTCAAGCAACATCCGTTCTTTATCTCGCTGTGTTATCCTCAGGAGAGTGATATCGTTCATGGTAACCTGGTTGAAATACGGGAATTTAATTAAGGGGACAGAGGTGGCCATTCCTACTGGGCTGTTTGCCTGTGGCTGAAAAGAAATCCTTCCCTGCAGTTAGCCAAGCGCGGGAGGTGGCGGGGGGGAGCGGGGATCTTCCCTGATACCAGCCACGCAGTGGGGGGAGGGATAAAGCGATCATCCCAGAGAATTGGATGGGGGGGTTAGTTTGGTTTCTGCAGGGATCTTCCCTGATACCAGCCACGTGGGGGTTGGGGGGGGAGGGATAAAGCGATCATCTCAGAGAATTGGATGGGGGGGCGCTTAGTTTGGTTTCTGCTGCTGCACGTTAACAGGAAAACCACAGCACTCAATGGGCTTTGCTTGGTATGTGGGAAAGGAGGGCGCTGCTTGTATGAAAGCTGCAGAAGCCGAAAGACAATGGCTTACCATGACCGCATGCAAGCCGAATTCTGTTGCCCGGACCTGCGTCTGTGTTCTCTAACACCAAAGCCACAGGCACTCAATATTAAGATGCAAAATGCGACCTTGTACCAAAATCATGTGTGCTAGGTAAAGTGAATAGTGTTATTCACAGTGAAAGAGTATAAGCATTGTTCTGTAAAATTTATCTTTTTAAATACTTCTCTACCTTTTTTCCCTCCCTCCCGCAGCCTCAAATTTTTCAAGCCTCCCTCCTCCGTCCCGAAGGCTATCTCAGATAAGGCATCGAAAAAAGAGGACGCGAGACGAAATGTTCTCAGAAATCATGGAATGCCCCCGCAATGAAAGAGCTCATTTGAATGAGTGGAAAGACACGGTAGCAAAGTACAGGAAAGATGCCAGTGAACGTGAGGCCATGAGCGATGCTAGAGATGAGAGGTGGCAGGCTGCAACGCTGGGGCTGCTGCGTGATCAAACGGACATGCTCCGGCATCTGGTGGAGCTTCAGGAACGGCAGCAGGAGCAGAGTGTCGCTGCAGCCGCTGTATAACCTCCCTCCCCCGTCACCATGTTCCATAGCCGCCTCACCCAGACGTGTAAGAACGCGGGGGGGAGGGGAGCCTCCGTGCACCTTCCCACTCCACCCCAGTGGACAGCCCAACCAAAAGGCTGTCATTACTTTGAACTTTTTAGTGGCCTTTTCCTTCCCTCCTATCCTTCTCCCAAACCCCACCCAGGCTACCTTGTCAGTTCTCTCCCTCTTTT